ATTATAACTTCAGCTTAATAACAATTATGTAGATTTCTACCAATACATTATGGCTATGCAATAAATCCTAGCTAGTCCTCCCTGTTCTAACAAAACCACTACTTTTCCCTAGAAAGATAGCCCAATATTAACCACCTCAGTCCCCAACTACCTGATGTGGATGCTGGGAATCGAACTCAGGTCCTCTGCAATAGCAGTGTGCGCTAACCACTGAGTCATCTCCCAGTCACTGCCTGGATCCTTTTTTGTCTTATGTGTTGGAGATTTGGTCTTCAGTGATGGAAGGTCCTCAGGTCTATCAGGGGAGTGTGTTTGGAAGGGATTATGGACCTCAGTCAACCTCCTGCTTCCTCTTTTGAGATGAGCCTGAGGGTCTGCACCAGAACCTTACAATTCTATTTGAACTTTTGGCCTCCAAAACTGTGGGCTAAAAAAAAAAATTCTTTATAGGTTATCCTACCTCAGATATTTTGTTATAATATTGAAAAATAGAATAAAACAAATACTGTGGTACAAGCATGTAATCTCAGCAATTAGGAGACTGAGGCAGGGGGATCATGAGTTTGAGACCAGACTAAGCTAAATAGTGATATCCTCTCTCAACAAAAGAACAAAAATAACCAAATTCATTCCCCAAATCCATTCCCAACAACAAAACAGCTAACATAGACAAATTCACTAATGAAGCATGCCAAACATTTAAGGGAAATGATGCTGGTTGTCTATAATTTTTTTTTTTAAGAAAATAGGCCAGGCAGTGGCAGTACATGCCAGTACATGCTTTTTATCCCAGTACCAGGGAGGCAAAAGCAAGAGGATCTCTATGAGTTTGAAGCCAGCCTGGTCTACAGATTGAGTTCCAGGACAGCAAGAGCTACAGAGTGAAACCCTGTCTCAAAAAGCCAAAAATAGATAGATAGGTAGGTAGATAGATAGATAGATAGATAGATAGATAGATAGATAGAAAGAAAATGGGCATGGGGGAGCATTTCCTGACTAATTGTATAAGGGGAGCCACATCTTAATGACAAAAGCAGGTAAAGATATTCCCTTCCTTAAAAGATGTATTTTTTTATGTATATGAATATTTTGTCTGAATGTGTCTGTCTGTGAAAGTCAGATCAGGGAGTCAGACCCTTGGAACTGTAGTTAGCTATGGTTGTGAGCCACCATGCAAGTCTTTGGAATCAAACCTAGATCCTCTACAAGAACAAGTTGCAGGGAACCATGGAGATGGTCTAGCTGTAGGAGAGGTGTGCATCATAGGGTTGTCAGGTTGGAGTCTGTGGCTCCTGGAGCACTGTGTGCCTTTCAGTTCCTGAGAAACTGAGGCACTCCCTCAGGCAGTGAAGCATTCAGGCCTCTTTGTGGTTCTCTGGATGTTCCCTTGGTAGTCACAGAAGCGTGGAAGCTTGACAGGACAGTTGCTCTAAGACATTGATCTGGTGTACCCTGTATAGCTTGCAAATGTCATTGTATCCTGGTAACTACAACTGTATTGATCCGGCAATTGCCATCATATTCTGTTCCTGATAAAGGTATAAAGAGTCTGATTGCTCCCAATAAAATTGTCACAGCCTCAGTCTTGTTGCTGTGGTCCCTCCTAGGAGGCAGATGATGTGATTTCTAGGCCAGCTTTGTATACATACTGAGTTCCAGGGCAGCCAGGGCTATGTAGAGAGACCCTGTCTTGAATAAAAGAAAACAGAAATAAAACACACAAACAAAACAAAAGCATACAACATCATATGCTATATAGAACTGTATGTAGTAGGTTTGTGTGACTGGTAGTAATTCCATTTATCCTTGGTATCTAAAGTAGAAAGTACAAGAGAAGTTCCCAGGCTCTGGAGGTGACTAGGAAGTTAAAAGCATGCACTATTCTATGCAATGAATGCTCACATTCAACTATCTCTCCTTCTCACACAGCCCTGGGCCCCAGCCCATGGGATGGAGCTGCCCACAGTTCACATGTGTTTTCTCAGTCACTCTGTGGTTAACCTAATATAGATAACCCTCATAGACACATCTAGAGGCTAACCTAATCTGGATACTCCCTTATAGATGTGTTCAGAAGCTAACCTAATCTAGATAATCTCTCACAGAACATCCAGAAACTAACACAAGGCTAACCTAATATAGATAACCCCTCATAGACATGTCTAGAAACTAACCTAATCTAGATAATCCCTCATAGACATGCCAGAGGCTAACCTAATATAATCCTTTACAGGCTAACTTAATCTAGATAATCCTTCATAGACACATCCAGAGGCTACCCTAATCTAGATAATCCCTTAGAGATGTGTCCAGAGGCTAATCTAATTGATAAACTCTCATACATATACTGGAGGCTAACCTGATGTAGATAATCTCTAGCAGACAAGTCAGGTTTGTCTTCTACGTAATTCTAGGCCCTGTCCAATTGACAATGCTAACCATCACCATCACGGTTGCCAAAGAACCTACCTTCCTTCCTTTCTTTCTTCCTTCCTTCCTTCCTTCCTTCCTTCTTTCCTTCCTTCCTTCCTTCCTTCCTTCTTTCTTTCTTTCTTTCTTTCTTTCTTTCTTTCTTTCTTTCTTTCTTTCTTTCTTCCTTTTTTTGGTTTTTTGAGACAGGGTTTCTCTGTGTATCTCTGGCTGTCCTGGAACTCACTCTGTAGACCAGGCTGGCCTCCAACTCAGAAATCCACCTGCCTCTGCCTCCCAAGTGCTGGAATCAAAGGCGTGCGCCACCACCGCCCAGATGGATTTTAACATTCTTCTTTGAAATATCTCTGTTGTTATGGTGCATGATTTTAAACACAAACCGCTCAGGAGGAAAGGACAAGTAGATGTCTGTGAGCTGGAGGCCAGTCTGAGGGTACACACGGAGACCTTGTCTTAAAATCTAACCAAGAGCAATCTCATTCGGCTCTACTAACAGGCCTGGGAGAAATAAGACAGGAAGTTAGTGTTAAGCTATGAAGTTAAAGCCAGCGAGTTAGTAAGACAGGAACGTGGATCGTGAGGAAGCTCATAAGTATCTAACCTTGTGTCACATTTTTAAAAAGACTAAACAGTAGCTGGAAAGATGGCTCAATGGTTAAGAGCAAATATTGCTGTTGCAGAAGACCAGAGTTTGATTCCCAACACCCAATCCATTTTGAATAGGTCGCAACCACCTGAGCTCCAGGGGACCTGATGCTGTCCTCTGGTCTCTGAGGGCACCTGTAGGCAGGTACACATACCACCCAACACACACATACAAATGTCCACAAATACAAATAAAATAAATTGCCAGGCGGTGGTGGCAAATGCCCTTAATCCTAACACTTGAGAGGCAGAGGTAGGAGGATCTCTATGAGTTCGAGGCTAGCCTGGTGTACAGTAGAGTGAGTGCCAGGACAGCCAAGGCTACATAGAGAGACCCTGTTTTGAAAATAAATAAAGTAAAATAATTTGAGGATGGAAAAATCACTCGGTGGTTAAGAGCACTTACGCTCTTCCAGAGGGCCTGGGTTCACTTTCTTACACCCATACTGGATAGCCCACAAATGTAACTCTGATCCCAGGGATCAAACACCCTCTTCTGGCCTTCACAGGCCCCTGTGCTCACAACCATGTGCTCACAAACAGATAGGCAGGCACATACTTACAGATAAAATAAAAATAAGAAATCAATGAAACTATAAATAAACAAGAGTACAGCAGCCAGAGCTAACCTACCCTAGCATTTGGTTTCAATAGTTTTAGGCATTTAGGAATTTTCTCGGATGAACTGTTTAAAAAAACAAACCTCTATAAACCTTCAATTTAGGATTTTCAAGTTCTATTGCTATCTATTTCTTTCAGAGGTTCCAGTATACATCACTTGGTCCCACTGCTTTGGGCTGAGGCACCACTGTGAACCAAGGTGGGAGCATGTGGCTGTCCACTTCATGGTTGGGATGGAAAGACAAAATGGATCAGGATCTCAGTATCCCTTCAAAGGGCTTACTCCCAGTGACCTAACCCTACTATTAGGCCTTGCTTTCAAAGTAATTGTAACAGAGTTTTAATTAAAAGACTATTCATCAATACAAACTACTAATAATATGGTGCACATAGGTGGATCTCTGTGAGTTTGAGGCCAGCCTGGTCTTCAGACTGAGTTTCAGGGCAGTTAAGACTACACAGAGAAATCCTGTCTTAGACACACACACACACACACACACACACACACACACACACACACACACGAGAGAGAGAGAGAGAGAGAGAGAGAGAGAGAGAGAGAGAGAGAGAGAAAGAGAGATGACATTTTTCACCTTGGTCATTTAAATTTCATTTTCTTTGGCCTGTGTCCTTTGTTATTCTTTTTTTTTTTTTTGCTTTGTTTTGTTTTGTTTTATTGAGACAGGGTTTCTCTGTGTAGCCCTGGCTGTCCTGGAACTCACTGTGTAGACCAGGCTGGCCTCGAACTCAGAAATCCGCCTGCCTCTGCCTCCCAAGTGCTGGGATTAAAGGCGTGCGCCACCACCGCCTGGCGTCCTTTGTTATTCTTAATAAAATATGTTAGAATTGAACAGAAACTATTTTATTTTATAGATGTTTTATAGTTGTGGTCTCATGTGTCATAGGTTGGCCTCCACTTGCCATACAGCCAAGAACGACCTTGAACTTTTAAACCTCCTGCCTCCACCTCGAGAACGCTAGGATCACAGAGTTGTACTAACGTGCCTAGTTAACGCAGTGCTGGCTCTAACACATGAGGAACAGAAGACACAGGGGTCTTATGTTCCACTGTTTGGGATGCCATCCAGTTCTTCTGATTCTAAATTAGAGATTCACCTAAGTTATATTCTATCCCCTCCAGGGTAGCCTGCCTAGACCTTGTCTTCTTTCCATGTCCATCAACTGAACAATTTAAATAATTTTAGTAAGCAGTTTGCGCTAAGCGCATGCGGTCCTTCCTCTTCGCACGATTGGACGTTTTGCGTCTCTTTTGGCCCCAGGGACTCGCCGTCGTCCGGCTGAGGCGTTTGCTAGTTGAGATGATGGCGACTGGGACGCCGGATTCGCAAGCCCGATTTGGTCAGTCGGTGAAGGGGCTTCTCACGGAGAAGGTGAACACTTGCGGTACCGACGTAATCGCGCTCACTAAGCAGGTGCTGAAAGGCTCGCGGAGCTCCGAGGTGAGCGGGGCGTCGGCTCACCGGCCCAGTCCTCCTCCCAGCGCTCGCTCTCAGAGAGGCGGCGCAGTGCATTCTGGGGAGTGTAGGCTTTTGGCCGAGGCGCATGTTGCATTCTGGGTGCGTTTCTTCAGTTTAGATTGAATTCACGTAGCTGGAAGAGATGATGGGAAGGGGCGAAGCACAGGCAGGCGGATGAGCTGCCGCTCCTACACAGTGCCTGTTTGTATTCCTGGGCGTCTGTAGTGAACAACAGTCGCCTTTTGAAATTCAGCTTGGCATTAGTCTCAACTTCCAATATTCCTTTCACCTCTTTCTTTGTGACTTTATTCTTTATATTTCTGGCCAAGTTCTTCACTGTTTCTTAGAATAGCTTTTTCCTTTGCCCCATCATCTCCCCCTTTCTCCATCCTCCATCCGATTCTATGAATGGAATGATTCGATGACATGTACACGCTGCCTGTTGAAGTAGGTATCTGCCCTAGAGAAACTGTGTGTCCACACATAGACATTTAAATGTTCGTACACTTTTCTGCATGAGACAGTTCACATGCGCATGGGCAGGTAAACGGACAAATGAGATAAAATGACCTCATCATTGGTATGTATTTACTAATGGAAAATTAAACGTATGGTGGTGGTGCATAATGGGCAAACCTAAGTCGGAGCTTTCGGGAGGCTAAAGCAAGAGTCCTGGAATACATAGGAGACTGCTTAGAAAACTTCCGGTTTCACCTTTCTTAGAAGGGAAACCTTGACTACACCTATAAAGCAATCCAGAGCCAAGATTCTTTTTAGATTTCCATGAATTCCTCCTGCAGACTTGTTCATTATCTTGCTCTTCCTTAGTTTAGTAACATTTGTCTCGGCCACACATCTTCAACAAGTGGTTACAGTTTCCAACTTAGTTTTCATAGGAATGGCACCTGCTTTCCTAGGTAGTTGCAGTAATGACACACTGTGTTCTCAGGCCTTTGAATCTGTGCGTGAATGTTCACAGCGTCTGACTTATAGTAGTTTTAACCTGCTGTGTAGCTAGAGCTAGCTTTCACCGACAGTGGCTACAAAACAAAATAAAAATCCCACTGTACAAGAAGTGCTTGCCCTTACTATGTAACACAGCTGTTGAAGTTGCTGACCTGGTGATCTCTGGTGACATGTTTTGTGTGTGGTCCCATCTGACACATTGCTTTTAGGAGTCCCTGTCAGGGGAAAGTTTGAAGAAATTAAAGAATTGTTGTATTGCTTTTTTCCAAACGTGTAAATCATGCAATTCATGGTTTCACCTTTTGACACTTTATCATGGTCGAACAGAGTTCCTGGGTCGTTTTTTGTTGGCAATCATGTTGACTTTCCTTTTTTTCGATTTGTTTCTTTTGTAGGAAATGTATGTGTATGCAAAATGTCACATGCATTATACAAATGGGTGCACACATTTTTCTAGATAAACAAACTGGGGGAGGAAATGCTATAAATATGCTTAGACTTTTAAAAGGTGGGTTTGGGGCCAGCGAGACTGCTCAGCAAGTAAAAGTGCTTGCAACCAAGCTGGACCATCTGAGTTCCATCCGAAGCTGGGACCCATATGATAGAAAGAAAAAACAAGCTTTCAGAAGTTATCACACAGTTTCCACAAGTGTGGAACCTATGGCACACACATCCTTTTCTCCCCTCCACAGAATAAGTAAATAAATATAATTAAACTTTTTAATAAAAAAAAGCCGAATATAGTAGCACATGCCTTTAATCTCAGCATTTGGGAGGAAAAAGCAGACAGATCTCTGTGAGTTTGGTCTACTAAGCTAGAGGGACTTCTAGCTTAGCCAGGGCTGCATTAGTAAGACCCTGTTTCCCCCTCCCCCCCCCCAGTTTTAAGAGATGGTTTTATATTTAACTCTATTATGTATTGAACATCATAATGAATTTACCTTTATGTGGAACTAATTGGATAAGCTACCAAAAATCACTGCTGCCATTGGTTGCCCCTGACTGTTCCTCCCCGTTCCTCACCCTTTTATATGTGTCTCTCACAGGAGCGTCTTCTCCTATAGGAGAGTTTGAGTGTGGTCTCTTCAAACAGTATGGATTAAATCAAGCTGAAGTTAAGCTGATTGCTGAGACAAGCTTGACACAGTTTCACAGTTCTCCAGACTTTGCCTTACTGGATTTCTTCCATAGCACAGATAGCGCAGTACCTCAGCCATTGCCTGTACTAGTTTGTGAGGTACCTGGGTGTCATAGTGACTCTCTGTTGACAGCTTTCATTTAATAAATAGTTTAAAATGTCTGCTTTGTTCCAGGAACTGTTCTAGTTTCAAGGAGGCAAACCCAGGTACTCAGGAAGCTTAGTAATTTTGGTGGTAACGGTATTGGTCTTGATGATTGAACACAGAGCCTACTCAGTGGGAGGCAGGCTCTCTGTCACTGAACTATATAGCCCAGTCTTAAAGCCTACATGGAAACTGCAGTGGATTTATGGTGTCTGAAAAGAGCGCAGAGTGGAAGCTTACAGTGAAGGGAAGAGACAGAAAATAAGCCAGTGAACACCACACTTCAGTGGTGAATAAACACTTTGAGGAACAGGAATCTCAGAGCGGAGAGTGGGGAGGTTTACTTTAAACAGGGACTGGTCTCTAGGAAAGTGAAGTTTGCACAGACAGTGGAGTGAAATGCATAGCGAGCCGTGGGCATCTGGAGCCAGAGCAGAGAGTTGCAGCTGTGGACTGGGAAGGCCTTGAGATGAGGATGTGTTCAAGGACTGGGTACCGGCCTGGCTGGTGGAGAGGTGAGGAAAGATGTGCTTATGTTCCCAGCCGCCATCCAGTTTCACACTGCTGCCCACCCATTCTCCTACACGGCAGCTGCTCCATTTGAGTCTCGTGCCTAGTGAGAGTCATTGTGGTCTTGTAATGGTTAATGTTTTTGCAGCACTGGGGCAGGCTCTAGAGAGCATTGTAGGCAGTCATTCTACCCCTGAGCTAGCCTCACAGCCCTGGTGTCAATTTTTTTTTTTTAAATCTCTGTGTGGTCTTGTCCTTGTTGTTGAAGTTGTATAATCTGATTGTTGTGTGTGCAAAATGCTGTGTGTGTGTGTGTGTGTGTGTGTGTGTGTACACATGTAGGCATGTGACTAGGAGACAACCTCAAGTCCAGTTACTCAGGTGTCATCCACTCCAGAAGTTTTTGAAGTAGCCAGGTGTGGTGGCGCATAACTTTAATCCGAGCACTTAGGAAGCAGAGGCAGACAGATGTTTGTGACTTCAAGGCCAGCTGATCTACAGAGTGAGTTTCAGGACAGCCATGGGTGTTACACAGAGAAACCCTGTCTCAAAAAACAAACAAACAATCGAGACTAGGTCTCTTGGGCCTGGGACTCACTAAGTAAGTGAAGGAAACTAACCACTGAGCCCCTGGGATCTTCCTGTCTCGCCGGTGTGAGCCAGCCTGCTTGGCTCTCCCCCAGCCTTTGGGTTGTAGGGATCAAACTCAGGTCCTTGTCCTTGGAAGCATTTCACTGTGCTGCATCCCCAGTCCCCTTAGCCATATAGTGAAACAATATGGGAGGGGATGAGATGGGGGGGGGGGGGGGCAGTGAGCACACTGTAGGTCTGAAAATAAGACATCCGGTGAAGGTGGGTGGGTGAGAGAAACTCACTGAGTTAGTGATGGGCAGAGTCAGTGGTACACACAGGAGGAAAGTGTGTGGGATCCAGAAGGAGGCTGTACTAAGATTGTTTCTAGGCTTTTCCATGTTAGAAGAGTAAAACTGGAAGTGTGAATGTCTGGTTGGCCTATCTGAAAAAACAGTGCCAAGTGTCAGCGAGTACATATGTCATTCTGAGAAAGGTCTCTGTTATCTGGCATTGCAACACCCTTGTGTCCCCAGCAGGCACAAGTCCTATCAAGTCTTCTGTCTCTGTTTCTCAAACGCCCATTTCCCCCACTGCCAGCTCTGTTCATGGCCTGCCTCCTAACTAGTCTCTGCCCTCCCCTCAGCACGACCCATTGTAATCACCACAGCTCTGAAGCAGCAAGTCCGATCACGCCACTTCTCTGTGTAAGGAGAACTCTCAACCCCAGCTGCTCAGAATTCACTCCTCCATGAAGCCCACCCTCAACACTTACCCCTGGAGCGGATTAACCACTCCCACTGCCTTCACCCCCAGGACCCCACAGCCAGGCTTCTCCATCCACCTACACTTTGCCGTAAGGGATATTAGTGCCTGTGTCCTGTGTAACCCCTCCCGATTGTGAGCCCCATTGTTTATCTCTCCATCCCTTCCTCTCTCCGTGTTGTCTGTTTGATGTTGTTGTTGTTTCAAGACAGGGCCTCTTTTGTAGCACTGGCTGTCTAGGAACCTGGTATGTAGACCAGGATGTCCTCAAACCTACAGAGATCCACCTGCCTTCACTTCCTCAGTTCTGGGGTCAAAGGTGTGCGTCACCACTCCCAACTCCATTATTACTTCTATCCAGAGTGCTGGCTGTTAATAAGCACTTAGTGCTTTTTAGTCATTTGCTGAGTGATTGGGTGGGTGGACAAGATAGAGGCCTTTTCTGCTGTCAGCTTGTTGGTCACCATCTCTCATGCATATGAATTTGAATCTGCTTCTTAGAAGTGGCCATAGGGACTAGGAAGATGGCTCAGTTGGTGAAATATCTACCACACAAGCACAAGGACCTGAGTTCAGATCCCCAGAACCCATGGGGAAAAAAGCTGGCTATGGCAGTATTTACCTGCATGCCTGTGACCCTAACTTTGGAGCTGAGGAGGGAACAGAGACAAGTAGATTCCTGGAGCTCCCTGGCAACCACCCCAAATGACTGGTGAGCTCAGATTTAGCAAGAGACCTTGTCTTAAAAAAACAAACACAGGGGCTGGATCGATGATCAGTGGCTAAAAGCACTGACTGCTCTTGCAGAGGTCCTGTGTTCAATCCCCGGCAACCACATGGTGCCTCAGAACCATCTGGAATGGGATCCAATGCTCTCCTCTGGTGTGT